ATCGCTGGATCTTTAATTGTCCCTCTGGTGTATATATTGCGAAATAATTTTATAGGCCCTCTTCTGCCGCCTCGTGTAAAACTATGCCAAATGTGCCTATGTAGATATCACACATAGAAATGAAAATATCGTACTAAAATCCATTATCTATAAATACATGCGATATTCAAACCGCTTGTCTGTTTGACATCAGTGTACAGTTCCTCAAATACTTAGAATTTTAGATAGAAAGGTCCATTAAAAACTCATAACTCTATTCAAATCAAAGTAATAAACGTCATGTTTTCTTAACACAAAAACGCAAATTAGGTGTGAATTATAATTCGTGTGAATATTATTGACGACTCTTTGGAAGTTTTTGGTGATTGTTTGCATTATTTAAGTTCGACTTTATTATAATAAAGTAGAGCCCAACTGTTGGTGATAGATTTTTTAATTCAATTATTTCATTTGCCTTAAATTTATGTCCAATTTTAAGTTTTGGCTTTGACCATTCAATGTTTTTATCTTTCCTTTTACCTCTCTTATGTTTCGAAATTCGCATATTTTTTAATTTATCAATAAACAAACATAATCATATACTAAGTAATCATTAAAAAACAAAAAGAACATTATGATATTTGAACGCTAAGTATTCGTTAATTAACAACAAAGTTGTAAGAAGTAATTTACTAATCCTAGGTATAAATGTTCCTTGCTATCATTAAAAGACGTGCAAATATTTATTTTGATGACGTCACGTCGATCATAAGGATAATTCCAAGAAACAAAACAGAAAAACAAAAGCCAATGGAATTTTATATTAATTGTTAATGTTACCACCTTTATAAACAAATGTCGGTAAAACACCATTACATAAAAACATATTAAGATACGCTATTTTTATATCACAGGGTAACAAACGAGCGGTCACCTGAAATCGCTGAAATAGCATAGAGACCGTTGCCGATAGACATACGCAATTGCATATGCGTTGCCTGACTTTAATTGACGGAGATGCACAGAAAGAGCTTCATCATCATCAGCTCACTATACGTCCCCACCGAGGTGCTCGGAGCCTACTCTAAGTTAAGGGTGATTAGGCCATAGTCAACCACACTGGCCAAATGCGTTGGATAAATGTACAAATGTTAAATCGGAAATCGAAAAACACATTGGTACAAGGCGGGATTCGAACCCCGGACCTGCAGATTGCAAGTCCAATGCTTGACCCCTGAGCCAGCAACGCCAAAATCAGAAAGAGCTTATTTTCCATCAATTCAATTGTATTTATCTGTAGTCTTTGTATTGAACGTTCATCTCTCTGATGAAAACTTCTGATTGAAAGTCATTACATTTTTAATGTTACTAGGATTGACTTTATATTACAGTAAATAACTTTTTATCTAGAAAATACATCAGTTAATTTTAGAGAAATATATTTTACATTTCAGAATAGCGGAAATTCATGGAAAATGTAATTCCCGTAGCAAACTAGTGGCAACATTTCAAAGTTCGTTAGGTTGAGAGCATGTTGCCGGCGGGGATGAAATTTCTCACTAATCCTATCACTGGCTACGCTCCTGTGCACAATTTCGTAATAAAAATACATGTGATGACGTAGTAGAGGGCAATAACCTCGCGACCTAACTAACCTAGATTTTTCATATATTCACCTGGTTATCATAGAGATATAAAATGCAAAAGGATATTGTATTATTTGTTAAAAAAAAAACTAAAAAAACCCGATCGACTGGATAAAGAGATAAAGGAGGAATACGAATCGAATCCTCCCGTGTCAAAATATTAATTGTTAATGATACAGTAGGTGATAAAGGAATCAGTCACATGTCAAAACTTTTTTTTCTTTTTTTCGCTTCTCTTAGAACTAACTTTTTTCGCATTTAGGAATCACCTAGAGCAATATCTAGATGATTAGTGGCTGACAATAATTAGAAAATTGCGGACCCTAGAGACTTTTTTATACGATAGTAGCATTATCTACATTTTCAATCTTCATATGTTTGGGAATCATCATTCTTAAAAACAGAAATATTGTAAAATTAAGTCGCGCTCTGTTGCGCAGAAACGTGTTAATTTTTTGTAAACCAAAGGAAGAACGCGATCACCTGACTGTTTATTATTTTAGTCGATCAAAATCTAGCATCTATTTTATATGTGAAGATAAGTTAACTATACTAACTTATCAACTAAATAACGTAGTTATTAACATCTCTTCTACTAAAAACCTTAATAATGAGTAAGGAGTCTCATTATTTAGTCATTTTCGCGATTGCATTTTGTTTGCGATACAATTTTTAAATAGACGCTAAAGTATTAACTAAGACAAAGTTATTACTTAGGGCCGAACTTCATTCAGTATCGACAAGTACATTGGTCCGCGTATATTTGTACATTCGCGTTTATTTATTTAAGGCGTCGTGGTGACGCGACAAAGCTAATTGTTAACTTACACATTGCGTTTCTCATGATCGCTATGTTAACTTCATTTTTTTTTTATAGTTTCTACCAATATTTTGGATTTAGTTATATAAAGGAGCAATGCTAGTTGAATGTTTACTATCAAGGTTTATTTATCTGACTCTTAATTGTTGCCGTAATTGATTATTATTTGGTTATTAATTATTATAATAAGATTAGTTTTAATAATAGTAACAGCTCATAGTGAAAATATTATTATTATAGCTATGGGAAAGAGGTACACTTCATGACATAGGTATACTGTTTATTGTAAAATTTTCTTTTTTTTAATTTCCAAATGTGTCTTAAGTCCTATAGAACTTTGTACATTTATATACATTTTTAATTTTCAATGTTACATAAATAATTTATTAACGATTCTTTTGTTTCAGCTGTGGATTCTCACATTAATAATTTGTTGAAAATGAACATATCCAATTCAAACACGACACAACTCTTTCATTCTTTTCGATCCAAAGTCTATACAATTAAGTAAATAGAGTCACGTCGAATGCCGTACATGGCGGCCATTACCTTATTTTTTTTAGTTATGTTGTGAAAATGATGAAATAAAATGATATTGTAAAATAATTTAGATGTTATAAAACTGTTTTATCACAAATATATTCGAAGTTGTGAATTTACCCGTAAATTATAGTTTGTCTTTGCTTTATAACTTTGGAATCTGATATATTTATAAACTATCTGTTGCACGCGACTCCGTCCGCGCGGAATTAAAAAAATAATAACCTATGTGTTCTTTTCAACTATGTTCTACTTCTATACCAAATTTTAACCATGCAGCCGTCCTGAAGGTACATCCATACAACATCCATCCATCTAAACATTCGCATTTAAAATATTAGTAAGATATAGAGATTGAATGCATACATGCATGCAGCATACATTTTTATTTAAATTATGTATGACCGTGGCGCATTGTAACTGACAAGGATGGAAAATCGTAAGCCGCAAAAATACAAAATGGTTAGAATTTAATAATAAAAAAAATCATTTGTTCAACAACGAAGCTTATCAATTACATTAGTCAGAGAGAAATAAACATTTTTTTTTTATCGAACGCGGCAAAGTTATACAGATGGTTTGGACCAAATATAATTAAATATGGTCTTGCTCTTGCCCGCGACTTCATTTGCCCAGAATTAAAAGAACTTAATAACAAGCCTTTGACTTCTTTCATGCTATTTTCTACTTTTATGTCAAGTTTCAGCGAGATCCGTTCACACATTCTGGAGATACGTTCTAACAAACATCCATCCGCTTATGCATACATCCAAACATTCGCATTTATAATATTAGTAAGATTAAATCGATTTTAATGTAAGCGCGTGTATATTATAACTGAAAAACTGCAGATAGTTGGTTACCACGAAAGAATGAATTCAGTTTAGTTTTTTTCCTTTAAATTCGACATTCGTGGATACGATTATCGAATGACCTTGGATTCTAATTTTTCGTAATGTTGTTCATACTATTTGTCTATCTCACTCTAATTTATTTTAATGTAACACCGAATAAAGGAAAAGGCGAATAATACATTTAAATTACAAATCAAACTTACAGTATTGTATCGAAGCGACAAGTAGATGTGATATATTGTAGACATTTGTCTAGTGGCTAGCAAAGCGTGAAATACGACCAAAAAAGTTACATCTAATAACCCCATAAGGGACGTCGAGACTCTTTCGACAGGAGTCATATCATTATCATCAGCTCACTATACGTCCCCACCGAGGGGCTCGGAGCTTGCCCCAAGTTAAGGGTGATTAGGCCATAGTCAACCACGCTGGCCCAGTGCGGGTTGGTTGACTTCACACATATCTTTGAATTTCTTCTCAGATATGTGCAGTTTGCATCGCGATGTTTTCCTTCACCGTAAGAACGTCGGATAAATGTACATATTATATGTAAATCGGAGACATATACTCTAAACTCTAAACTCTAAAACTTTTGCCGACCTATCTTGTGTTTCTTTTTTCTATTTAATTTTATATTTACAATTTCTATGTCAAGGTAAAATGTTTCTTGTTGAAGTGTTTAATAATTTATTTATCAAATATTGCTTCAAGTTTTGCTTTTTTTGATCGCAACGAGGAAAACATATTTTCTTGCTTAATTTTAAGAAATAATCCCGGCATTTTTAAATTTATACTTTTGTAAACAGGAATAATTTAAATATAAACTGTATTTATAATTTTAAAAGTATTTAATTCGGTTTGTTTGCATATTATATCATAGTTAGAAAAATACAATGAAGTTCGCGTGGATATATATAATGTTCCATACTCAGAACAATATATAAAATGTAAGATAATGCTAAGCAATATTACTTATATCAAATTTATCTGTATGTTTAGTTTATATTTTTTGTCATTCGCGCTAACTCATAAGATCTGTTATTTTTTAAAACACAAAAAAAAAAGTTTTTTAAATTATAAAAAAAAATATTCGATTTATAGAGAAATTAAAAAAAAAAATAATATACGAAATAAAATAAATCGCGTTGCTTTTAAACTTACCTCATCGGGACATGTACGGGACAAAATGGGTCTCCTTTGTATAGAGGTTTGTGCCTTGACATCCGGGGAGCGTCCGGAATCTCTACGACTGAAACTCGCGCTGCAGCTGCCGTGGCTACCTCGATCGTCGTCGCTGAGCAACTGACTCTGGCGCCCTCCCCACTCACTCTTTTATACACTGCCCCGACTGAGGGCCGGCCGTTTTCCTTTTCCCCGTACTGCCCGACAGCCCGACAGCTAGCTTCCAAAGTATTTTCATTGTAAAATGGAAATTGAAAATTACTCAGTCAATTTAATTTTTAATATTGCAGCTCTCTTGTTATTAATTTTACTTTACTATGACTTACTTTTATATATATTATCAATGATAGTTATTTGTATATTTTTCTTTATATTGATGTATTGATGTTGTCAGACTTATTTGGTTAAAAATAAGTTCAAGTGTTAACTTATTTAAATTAGAATAGAAGTAATCTTACTTACTATGCTATACGTTAACTAGTCGTTTTTTCTTAAAGATGCGACGATAAAAAGATTAGAACCTGAGATGGTGGGTTCGAATCCGATGGCTATAGAATCTGAAAACATTTCGTACTTGCAACCTTCATAAGCACAAATTAATTATAATAATTGCATTCTTTGGAAAATGGAATTTCTTTTGTTTCTACGCGAGTTTGCATTGTGAATACAGTACAAAAACTAATATAGGAGTGACTTACAATCAGCAAGGCTTGTGACATACTCCTCAGAAGAATGAACAGGATCAAAGTGAACATAAGTAACCTGATTTTTTTTAAATAACTCTCATGATTAGTTGCATAAAATATTTATTAAAAATTGCTAATCAAACACGAATAGGCGCTTTACATTATATTTGCTTTATATATAAATAAATAAAATAAATAAATATTTAAAGTCAGATTCGTAAAATTTACAATTTACTCGCATAATTCCCGGTAGTGAGTTTAGAAATTGTTTACATTTCCAAATTTACTGGGAAACTCAGTTATTAATCGCCTTTCCATCCAAATGTAGGGAATATTCGGCACATGAATTCAACATGCAATTACCAATGCAACGGTAAGTACCTAAATGGGTTCGCAGAATTAATTAAATTTTGATCAATGCATTGTATTTTAGTTTAGTAGAAACAAAGCTGTAAATCTCACTAATATTATAAACGGGAATGTTTGGTTGGATGGATGTTTTTACAAAGTATCTCCAGGACGGCTGCATAGTTCTCTGGGAAAATTGACACTGGTGTAGAAAATAGTCTGGTAATATTAGAAAGAAACCTAATAATATTTCATCTTAGTTTAAATCAGATTAAGGTGGCTTTACTTACCTGCCAATGTAAAAAGCACTAAGTTGATTTCAGCACGCTAGAAACGAAGATTCCTTGAGAAAGAGAGATAAAATAACTTCGATGGAAATGTTGCGGATGCTGCGAGCTCTCGGCTGCGCTGTGCAAATCAAATTAGAGTAATGAACGGCCAACTTATCTTTTACTTAGTTTACTTATATCTCTACTAGCTATCGCCCGCGACTCCATCCGCGCTGTTGAAAGAAAACGTATGTAGGTAGCTTATGTGTTCTACCAGATTTTTTTTTACATCTGCGCCAAATTTCATCAAGATCCGATCCCGAGTTACATTCCAAGATCCATCCATCCTTCCAACCATCCATAATATTAGTAAGATATACTAACTCTTGCATATGCTATATACTTTAATAGATCCATACAAAATTGTTACTAATAATTTCGAAGTTCCAAACATCAACTTATGTATAATTAGAAAATAGATGAGAAAGAGAGAAATAATAAACAGTTTATCAACGTTATAAAATTCAAAGGAATGCATATTAAATGTTTCATCATTATCGACTCACTATACGACCCCATTGAAAAGTTTGGAGTCTACTTCAAGTTAAGGAAGACTAGACTTTAGTCAATTACGCTGTTCCAATGCGGATTGGTTGACATCACACATATCTTTGAATTTCTTCGCAGATATGTGCAGACTGCATAGTAATGTATGCATGTGTTCCTTCATCTTTACAACGTTAAATAAATGTTCATATAATACTCTAGAATCGAAAAACATGATAAATGCCGGGAATCGAACCTGGATGTATAGTCGGTCAAGCTCTTAACAATTGCACCACCGACTCTCGTCTATTTTGTGTTTGCCTGAATTGAAATAAAATCAATAGTATCAGGGTTTTGTTGGATCAACTAAATAAAATTAGATCCAGCTTAGTTTGGCTATTGTTAAATCGTAACTCAAACTATCTTGGAATAGGTCTATACAGATAAATATAATAAAATGTTGGATGTCTGTATGTTTGTCTATTTACCCATGTGTTCAAAAGTCCGAGAATGGGTAAGGTTACCTTAACCAAAACTTTTTTTTATATCATAAGGTGGCAAAAGAGCGAGCGGCTAATCGCTGAAATAGCAAGGTGACCGTTGCCCATAGACCCCTAATCAACCCTTAATCGACGGAGGAGAGGATGCACAGAAAGAAAATATTTTCCTTTCTCATGCATCCTCTCATCCGGAAAGTCCACTTCCATTGCCCATCCTTTCCTTATAAAAAGAATGGGAAGGGAAAAAGAACTAAATTAGGCCTCCGGGACGCTCACTCATTAGACGAAACGCGGAATTGCTTCCACTTCACGCCTGTCTTTTGTGTGATCGTGATATTTCACCGGGCGAGCCGGGCCAATTAGTTAACTTAATTGGGTAATCTCTGAAAGGCTGGGCTTACAATGAAAGGTGTAACGTTTTTTTTTCTTCCACGCTGACAAAGTCGCAGGCAATAGCTAGTGGTAAATAAATCTTTTGATAGTTTTATGAATAGGATCCGCTGTGATCTTATGATCAAAGGAGTTTGATCGTTCTCCCGTAAATATAATCCCATATCAATGAACTACTTTATGGGGATTCGAACGAGGGAGGCTCTCTTTCATTCCCCTAACACCCACCCCTTCTTAATTCATACAGAAAATTTTATTTATATTTTTAAGATAAGAAGCTTATACGATGTTGTAAAGTTTACTGAACCTGTTTTTTTTGGTAAATAATATTTTTTGGCACAGAAAAATAGATAAAATGAAAATGGATAAAAATGTAACCATACTAGTCATAAAAGCTATTTTAAAACAAATAAGTTACGGTAACCTTATTAATAATAACGGTTACAAATATTGTTATGTAGAACAGAAGCAACGGAGAAATACAAAACCAAAAAAAATATTTAAATCAAACAAATACATCGTTTAATCTCAATTATAAACTTGTTTTAAAATATTTAGAGACGCATGTTTATATATTCTAATTTATGCATTTCTGTCATATGAGATCGAGGTAGAAAAAATAATATAAAAACAAGAAAGGTGAATGAACCCAACGGCAGCTGATATTTGGAATGACCGCATCCAAACAATACAGGTCAAGGAACTTTGTCGAAGATAATGTTTGACATCTATACTTAACTACGCGAATTATTGTTTGTGAAGCCTTACTCGGGTGACAAATTTTTTACACGTTTTACTAATATTAAAATATGAGTGTTTGGATGCATGGCTGTATATGAATGTTTGTTAAAAGTTATCCCCAGAACTAGCTGATATTTGGTATAGATGTCGAACATAGTCTGAAAGAACACATAGGCTACTTACTTTATTTCCACGCGCACAAAGTCGAGGACGACAGCTAATAACGTCATAAAGTATATAGTGATAGAAAAATTCTAAAGCAAAACGTTAGAATAAGGACATAAATTCGAACCTAACTAGGACTTAACTGATTGGAGACACTATTCACTAGATGTGTTGGTGATGGATCTTCGTGCAACTTTTCTCGTCCTTGTATCTTCTCTCTCTCTGTGGGAATTTTTCCTCCCCAAGTCATCCCCGAGATATAATTCTGGCATTAATCAAAGCAGCAGGAGTCAGCAGTATTCCACACAAAAAACAACTCTTGCAGTAATCAGCAGCGTATAAGTTGATGTCTCTGCTAAAGTAGACGCATCTTTTGCTGCCGGACAGTTAAGATAACCAAGATTTGCAAGAAAAGGCTGCTATTCTTAGCACACAAATAGATTTACGAAGCGGGGCAACCGGCTGGTGACATGCGGTGTAGAAAAGAGTACGTAAAGCAATGGTCTTCACAATGATGACACGGCTAAATCGACACAGGTCAAACAATTCCTTAGTCACTATGTCCTAATTGTATGCAGATGTGCCAAGAATTCTTTATTGTTTTTTGTATAGGAGGGTTGATGCATTCAGTTGTATAACAGCATCTTAACTCACCAGTCATATCCAAAGGAGATGTTTGCAACTTAACCAGATCATTTTTGACTTGGTAAGTAAAGTTTTATTCGTATAACAAAATAATGATAGTTATACTGTTTAAAATATGACACCGTGATTGTCTTCAGTAACAAAAAAAAGATAGAAATAAGAGGGTTCATACCGAGGACTGATTTGGCTTTGATTTCCTTGTATCGTGGGTTTTGGGTTGAAACGATACAATTACTTTTAAATTTATTAATCTACTTAGATTATATATTAGTATATTATAAACTATTATATGTGTATTGCCATGTGCCACCTTAAAATGTGTAAATTAGGTCATCATGGAAACTTAGGTCATCGAGCAGGAGATTTAATTAGCTCGTAATATCTGCGCCTCTACTATTTCTATTGGAACTTTATATAGGAATCTTCCCGCGCTGTATTGTAAAAACAAAATTAGTAACTTATATGTCCTTCCTGACTATGCTCTACATCTATACCAAATTTCAGCTAGATCCATGCAGCCGTTTTCAAGATACCTTGTAACAAATATCCATCCAACTAAACTTTCGCATTTATAATATTATTATTCATTATTATAATAACTATTACTATCATTAATAACGAAACCCATTCAGTAGCGACTATGACACTCATTATTTACAATTATCGAACAATCCGATTGTTGACTGATTTCTGTTCTTTGTTTTGTTTTTTTTTCTCGATAACTTGACAAGAGTGGTATTGTGCGGTGGCAATGAGGTCACTGTGGGCGACTGGCCCAGCGGCGACCCCGAAGGAAATGCTGTGCCGCTGGTCATCGGAACAAATGAAACAACGCACCATTGTTCAAATTATCTACTCTTATCTATTGTTTAACATGTGACGTCATTTTTAATGTTAACATTGGTAGAGCCCGCTTTAACATCTTCGCACGAATTGTCCCGGCTCGCCCGGTGAAATACCACGACCACACAGAAGACAGGCGTCAAGTGCAAGCAATTCCGCGTACAGTCTGATGAGTGTGCGTCCCGCAGGCGTAATTTAATCCACTATCCCTTTCCGCGCTTTTCTCATAGGAAAAGAATGGGAAGTAGAAGTGGACTTTCCGGAGGAGAGGATGCAAGGAAGGGTAAAATGTTTTTATTCTGTGCATCCTCTCCTCCGTCGATTAAAGATAGGCAGCGCATATGCAATTGCGTATGTCTATGGGCAACGGTCACTTCGCTATTTCAGCGATTTCAGGTGGCCGCTCGCTCGTTTGCCACCTTATGTTATAAAAAAAATATTAGGAGAATTTCTTGGATTTTACTTAATAAGCTACGATTCAAAGTCAAATAATGATTTCGCTCGTAAAGTTTAAGTTATTAGACTTGTTTTGTCATAATTCGTCAAAATCTAATAGTGATAAACAAGTAAAAGTTATGCGTAGAGATGAGTAAGAATTTCCTTATCGAGAATACTAGGTTTGCGGAAGCGTACGTGATACGTGTGCCATTAATATGCCGCTAACATCCTGGCGACCAACTCGCGCAATGCCACATTACTCGTCCACACATAACACCTTTGATGTTTATTATTATTTTATAGCAAACATACGTTGTTCTAATTCAAACACTTACCATAGAAAAAGTGCACATCACGCAAAAACTCATATATCATACTATTATAATATTATAAATGCCAATGTTTAGTTGAATGGATGGTTGTTTAAAGGGATCTCTGCAACATAGTCTGGATGCATAAGCGAAGTTTTTTTTTAATACTGCGCGGATGAAGTCGCGGGCGACATTTAGGTTTAAAATATTTCTTGTAAAACGCGTTATTATTAAATTTATCATAAAACAACTGAAGCTGTGCAATATTGTGATGGCGGAGAGGTAAGGAATTTCACGTTCGTCAGAATAATTAATTTCAACAATGAATCTAAACAAGGTATACACTTGGTATGCAGGACTGACAATCTTCAACTCTTGGAATTAAATATTTTATAAATGAAATATCCATCCATGGAAGTCCATCTTAAGCAAGCAAGAATCAATAATTTTGAAATTTCTCTAAAATGGCGTCTTCTAAGTCACTTTCGGGTCCTTGGGTATGAGCAACAGATGGGAGTTTCATTTACTGATGTTCAAAAGAAGTATATAAACATTTTAATAATTGCATTTAATATAATCTTTATGATAATCTTGAATAAGAGAACAAAACATTGGCAGCGAGCCATAGATTTTTCTTACTACAATGTGCTGAGATAGCTTCCTTGGTGACGGCAAGGAATTTACTTCTCTGTTGCTAAACGCATCAATACTTACGACTTACGATTAGTGTCTTCGTAGAATATTGTCTTGTTAAAGAGTGTTGGAAAGATATGTAAAGCAGTAAATTATTCGTTAGAGATAGAGGGACTTCGTTAAGGGTGCAAGATAGAGAAGTGAGTGATAGAGTGTGAATTGGAAGACGAAAGCCTGTTATGTCGAATATAATTGAAAGTGTTATCTTACTAATGGATGGATGGATGTTTGTTTGACGGAATCACCAGAACGGTTGCATAAATCTCGCTGAAATTTGGCATAGATGTAGAAGACAGTTTGGAAAATTTCGCTCGTACGAAGTCGCGGGCGACAGATAGTTTTATACTTGTTAATTTATTATTATTGTTTACCTATAACAATTATAGTTCCCCCAGGGTAAGCATTCCATTTGTAGGCCCGTATATGTATATCACGCGTTTTATTCACAAAAGTTATCAAGCGACATTCTTACAGCTCAAATGCATCGACATAAATGCCGTAAAGATTGCTACTGGTTATGAATATTTATTATTGTTAGTTTAATTTTGTATTGAGCATAGCATGATGCGACAAAACTCTACTTTATACTGAGATTAGGCGTCGCCCGCGGCTACGTCCGCGCGAAATTATGTGTTCTTCCAGGCTAAGTTTGACATATAAGCATGTATGCCTTAATTTCATCGAGATCCGTTCAGCCATTCTGGAGATACCTTCAAACATATACCCATCTATCCATCTTAACATTTGCATTAATCATATTAGTAAGAAAGATAAGATAGTAAGAAGGAGACCAGGATATCAGGAATTATTTTTTATTGCGTAAATGTGTAAGTTACTGGTTCTATATCGTATGTTGTATATTTTATTGTATCTTATATTATAACTCAATTGTTAGCTTTAATTCGCCATTACAGAGGTGTGTCACTGTTTAAGTATGTTATCGAACAGCTCCCTCTGTTGTTAAATAGTATTTATAAAATAAAATAAAAGCATTTAAAGTTAAAACAAATATATATGTTTCACTCATACGTATACAACCCACTCATAGAAATCTATATCGATCGATATCTTACAACATGTTATATTTTATTCAAAAAATACATTTTACATCTTTTAATTTTTGAGTCAGCCAGCATATTATTTAGGGCCATCTATCGGATAATTTAAAAAACTAGTTATGTTGCCATAGCGCTGCTGTCGATACACTTAATTGTCTGAAGAAATGTGTTTATAACTAAAAGGAATTACTATATATTTATATTTAAAAGAAGATTTAATAAACTACATTCAATTATTTATTTAGAAACAATATATATACAATGACATCATCACAAGGGTTTTATTTTTTACAATTTTGCAAATATAAGAATGGCAACATTTCCCCACGCTGCCTTACCCTCATTGGTCAAAATGTGACGCTGTCAAGATGACATTGTTATAATTTGTTTTTGCTTTTTGTTTTGATCTCATATTTTCCCACGCAAGAATTCTGTCAATCTGTAACTGTACATAATTAAACCACTGTTTTAAAAGTTTCAATTACATTAAAAATACATTTTTGGTCTAAGAAATAAACAGAAGGTTAGGCACATGGTGTTTTTTAATTGCGAAACGAAAAATTTAGTGGCACCTGTAGTTGTTTTAAAATGGTAAGTACTAATACTTTTATACAATTGTATATAACTGCTTTTAAAAGTTTAGTCCATTAAGTATTTATTGCGATTATTGGACTAGGAGGTTAGGCACATGGTGTTTTTTAATTGCGAAACGAAAAATTTAGTGGCACCTGTAGTTGTTTTAAAATGGTAAGTACTAATACTTTTATACAATTGTATATAACTGCTTTTAAAAGTTTAGTCCATTAAGTATTTATTGCGATTATTGGACTCCCGTGTTCTTTGACTCAATTCCAACAAGACTTTTCTTTTGGTTTTAAATCTTCCAATAATATAAACGTAACTACAGCATGTAATCAAATTCACTCTTAAATATGTGCTCGAAAAAGTTTGAGTTCTTTCTGAGACTCTTTTTGAGTTTTCTTCTTTATTATGCTTTTAAAAAAGCTTAAATTTCTATTGTATTTCTTTCAGACCAATTTATAGTTAAATAATATAACAATGTATTTTAACAGGGCAGCATAAATAAAAACAACAAACCCACAACTTCTTGGTCCTTCACTGACAAGGAAAGAAAAACATCCGGTGATTTGTTCTACTTCAACTACACTCATCCAAAGACATGACAAAATTGTACCAACCTGAAGAATTCTGATTGAACTTGAAAAGGTGTCAGCCCTGGATAGGCTAAGTCTGTAAGGATTGCTGGAGAGTCTCATGTGTTCAGTCTGTGTACTAAAGAAATGCCACTATAGGCAAATAATCTCTTGACATGGCCAATATATGTGGTCATCGATACTTAGGTTGCAACTTAGATATATTTGATGTGATTGTTATATGATTACTAACATAATTTGTTTATTAGTAAATAATTAGAAATAAATAATATTTCTTTTTATTATTTTCCTCTTTAAAATAATCAAACAATTCAATGTACATCAAATACTCCACTTCCAACAGAGACTCTGTAGCGATAAAAGTTTGAGAACTGCTGGTCAAAAGGATATACAAAAGATTAACTCCAAAAATTAGAGATGTCTGGTAAAGATGTAAGAAAGAGTAGTACATATTTTGTCGACCGGAATTTCGGAAACGTATAAAATGTGACGAGAAAAGACTTATTTAAAGATGTACATAAATCCTATATCAATTTTACGTTTTTCCTTATCAAGTGGAAGTTTTTCATTCTGCCCAAAGTATTATTGTAAACCCGTTGACAGCGTTCATCAATCGTCAGCACATCGGTGATCCACTCGCGGTTCACGAGTTCATTAGCGGCGAGATGGTGCGACCGCACGGCGCGTCGGCCATTATGGGACATCGATAGCGCCAAAGTCGGATATAAAGAGACGCCTGTAGTGCCCAATAAGATATGTTTGAAAGATTTCCCCCGACATTAAAAAGGGGTGTCCTTAAAAATCTCCCCCAGGGCGCTGGAAATACTAAAGCCGGCCCTGATCGAGTACACTCCTCGCTGTCTCCAAGGCCTACCGTACCTACTGGTGTGGTTGAAAATAATTTTAAATGTCCGAAATTTAATAGCAAAAGTTAAATGTCAGGTCAGTCACAGCAGGCAATTAAGGCACGAATCAAATATTGATTTGTAAACAATCAAAAGACAAAAGCCCTTCACAAACAAAGGGCTAATGCCAATTAAACCGTGCCGAGGCAGTCCGCTTACACCGACTGGCTGCCTCTCCTAACAGCGTGTTAATCGAGTTACCGATGTTGCCCGGGATCTATTATTGGACTGGAATATCGAGACACTCGCAATTCCCATCCCTATTGGTCATGTTCACACGATTGTATATAAAATAAATCGACACATTTAATTCTATTGTATTTTTTTTGTCTTTTATTTACGATTAATTTTAATAAGATATTTTATTGTAATCTGAATTTCTCGCCTACATTCTTTGAATATAGCTAGGGTTCGCAGACGAGAAAATACTTCGTTGAGCATAAAATTTAATGAGGAATCTCGAGCTCAACAAAATATTTTCTTATAAACAAAATACTTGAAATAGCAAACAGAGCCACAGCCGCAACGAACGCTGTAAGACTGATCCTACTCCCTGGTGAGCGAGATCGACAATCGGATTCCTTATAGAAGCTTTGTTGCAGTACTTTAGTCGTGTTTATTTGTAGCTGCGATGTGAAAAAGAAAATTCTTATCTTAAATGATAGAATTCATATCAAAATGCCTTAAATGCGGAGCTGGAGAACTGTACAAAACTAAATATTGTTTTGAAATGATGTAACCAATAAGCATTAACATAGCAAACAACCAAAGTCCCAACATCCCATAGATATGCCCAAATAAGAGACTTACCAAACCCCCATCCACAAGGTTCTCCGCTTTAGCGCACTCTGCATAAAGCGTTCAAGCTGCTGAGTCGCAAAAACAAAAATCGGGATTGATACTTTCTAAAAAATAGGAGAGGACGATAGGGTCATTAAAGTGTGTCCCAGAACACCTAATTGCTGCCCACCCCTCTAGAGAGACGCCGATCGTTGGCCAGGACCTACGTGAGCTGCAAGCGGTCGACTGACAGGGGGCGGCGCAGGACTCACGACTTTAAACGTTCGTCATCTCTTGTATCGTAGACCAACATACACATTGGGTCGCAGCGCCAGCGCTGTAAAATGGAGTTGAAATAAACTTAATACGTAGCCTGTGTTCTTTCAGACTATATATCCTACACCTGTGCCAAATTTTATCGAGATCCCTTGAACCGTTTTGGAAATACCTTCTAACAAATATCCATCTATATATTCGCCTTTATAATATTACCATGAATTAGATAAAAGAACGTCCCATGTGACAGTTGCAAACGTCATACTTATGAGTAAACAAATAAAACTTGATATAAGCGATGATTAGTGAAAAAGTACATAAGGATAAGAGGGAGGGAATCTAAAAAGAGATTAGGATGAGAAAGAGAGAATGAGATTAGGAAAAAAGGATAGGCTTAGAAAGAAGGGGAAAGTATAAGGAAAAGAATAGAATTAGAACTTTGTGATATAAAAAAAAAATTCGCCATGCTTGTACTTTATGAAGCTCAATTCTAGCAAACGTAAATCTTATACACAGACATGAAATTTAACACATAGACATGTATTTATAATAAGCATTGATATAATTTAAATTTAATAATGCACAATCTGGTGTCGTTTGTGGTGCTTCACCTAGGCGGAAGTCGTTGCCATGAAGATGCGTATAGTAAAAGCCTACAGACCTGTGCGTTGCCGTCCTCCCTGCTGCGGCAGGTGGGGCGGCCGATCAATACCGCCCCGGGCGCTTCCCGCCCGCCCCCAACGGCCCATCACAGGCTACCGACGCACGAGCGACTTCCAACACTGTCTTATAATAAATTCTTTAAATAATCATATAAATATTTAAGCTATTAAGTTTGACTAAATAAAAATCAAAGAAAAAACTCGTTTAGTCCTTAGACAAGACTTTGTAATAATTAAGTCTAATTAATAGATAGTCTTTAGTGTGTAAGCAACCTTATGGTCGAAGCAGATTGGAGCTTGTGTTAAAGCGAGCGGAGAGGGCAAGTGCAGTAAGGCCTGCCCCTAGTTCACAACTCACTCAATCGCCTAATTGCCGATAAAAGTTCAAAAAAAATGTCAGAAAAGGTAAAAATGCAGTGAAATCCATACAAGGCGCTGACTGTCTATGCCAAAAATATTGGAAACGATTTCCAAATAAAAGTGCACTGCAAATTGGCATTACGTAATTTTTTTTTTTTAGTTCCGTACCTCAAAAGAAAAAACGGAAGCCTTATAAGCCCTTTTTTCTGTTACACTCTAGTATTATTCATTATGTCTTATTAATGCTATATTGTTGAATTATTTGTCATAAAATTTTATTCATTTTTTAAAAATAGAATTATAAAAAAAATTTGAATTAAAAAAAAACTTTTAGTGGTCTATGTGTTCTACATTTAAACTAAATTTCATCGTCACTTTTGCATGTATGTATAAGTAAGATTACTAAGTTTACATGTGTGTTGAGTTTGGCACATCCGTATTAGATAGTGGTTACAGTACTAAAACGATAGCGTATACTAGTTATATGTTTTCACAATATCAATATCTTTATTAATTGAGGTCAAATAATATTTTTCAAAATTAAATTTTTCACTCAAAAATTCTAGGAGACATTTGTGTGTACGGTTTCAATATTGCGTGGTTGCGTGCTGTCAACGAATGAGAGGCGTGTGTGCGGCGTACGTGAGCCATGCGAGCGACGTGCGTAAAGTAAAAGAAGTATGTCAGTATAGGTCGTACTGTTAGCGGGCAGCGGCTGAAACAGGCACATTACTCCGCCTTTACGCGCACAACAATTGCCTTTAATTAGCGCCCCTCCCCTTCCCACAGACATGAATTGTTTGTCCTCCGCAACAGAAGGCTCGCCAGTTAATTCAACTCTGAGACTCTTTTGCACACCGGCTTTCGCTTTTCGTTAGTAATCAAGGGTACGTTGGTAAAGTTTCTTTTTATTCCTTGAGAGATGTTATAACTTGTTGCGGATTGTAGGAAAGGTGCTGGAAATCTTTTACTTTTAAATCTTAATGTTGTAAAGATAAGCCTAACCGCCCTCAGGCGGAATCGTGCCATGAAAGATGTTCCAAAATATAAAGGAACTTTAGTATTTTACTTAAATTTTGTATGAAATTATACATTGTAGTATGAAACAGAGCTAAATGCGCCTGTCATCTGTTTTCATCTGAAAAAAAACCCGAACGTGTCATTCAAAATATAATGTGCCCGTGTTACAGTTAATTGCAGATGATTGCAGGATTGTGGCATGTGCCATCTGGTCCGGTAGGTACGTGTTGGGCAGTGGCGACACGCTCATGACACGTGCGCTCCCCGTGAACGCGCATAACTTAACCGCACAAACAACTTCGCTGATAACATTCGCTAAACTGAAAAAATTACTTTCAAGCTTATATTACTTTTAAATACCATGATTCTATAGGCGTATCTGTCTATCCCGCTGTGTAACGGTCGTGATAATTTTTGTTACAGTTACGAATTAAATTTGTTATTTAAAATAAATTCCGTATATAAACTGTAATATTGAAATTAGAAAGCATTGCTGTCGCACACGGGAGATATGGACCTACACGTATTTCCTCCTTTCATAGCATTGGGTTGACATTCTCGTTCCGAGAAATATTTTCCACAGAAACACCTTTTACGGAATTAAAGAAGCTCTCAACACCCCCATGTCTAGTTCACACTAAACGAAACTAAAAGGAAAACGTTCGGAAAAAGACGTTAACATCGTATGGCAAATAATATTCGACGCGTCCGCTCCAGCGACGACATGAAAGGTCTTTAGAAAACGCGCTACTAAGGAAATCTTTTGAAATGTACTTACTCGTACATACATGCATTACTAAAATGATAACATTCATCATTTAAATTTACAATTTAATTAAATACTATTAAAGATAAACTGCAGCTTTCCGCATAATATGTCCAATTTACGCAAACCTTTTATAATATCCAATAAGGTTTTTTCTCTAATTCCATGCAATCAGAGTCGCGGAAAACAGCCCGTGAGTCCATAAAGTACGTCAGTTGCAACACGCGGTCTATGCTCCCAACTCCCGTGGGTGGGGATTTAAATTTCAATAACAAAACTCGTTTGCAGGCATCGAGTTATAATGAACGTGGGATTGACTCAACACCTCGTTACAACTTTACGCCGACAGATGGAACATTGCCGGCTTACATTGTGTTGGCAGTTCCCAACTTGTTCCAGTGCATTTTGTATTAAAACTCACTCTAAACATAAACAAATGTTAGTTAGTTAATGTACCTTAGTTACACACAAAATTAAATATATATTTTGGACTTAAATAATAATAACATAGGAACGAACATGGTAACCGATTACCAAAATCTATAGTCCAGTATCTTTGTGACAATGAATGTAAGAACGCTTGGAAAAGGCAAAAAAATTATATAAATAAACGAAAAATAAACAAAGGGATATATCTGCGTATCTCCAAGATTAAAGAAAAGGCACTGTTGAAGTATTCGTTGCTGTAATTATGTAAATTCCTTAAGAGAAATACTTTCCGGGGATTGTTAAAATCAAAACTTAAAATACCCTAATTTCGGACTTAAGGCTTACTCCATTGCAGCATTTTCCGTACCGTAATATTATTTACCTATAGATAAAATATGTTACAGTTAGAGAAATTCACTTTCCACTCAGGTTAGAATCGTAGAGCAAAACTGTCGTCATATGAGGTACAATTTAGTACAGTTCTATGTTTACTAACTCGACTGTACAAAATTACATACATGAGACATTCCACCCTCCGACAGCTATTACAACTCGTTTTGCGGAAATCGCGGCGCATGAATATACTCGTTTGTCTACCCAACATAAAAATCTTTTTAAGGATATATCGTATGTCTAGTAACGCTCAGTACAGGCGTAAAATGATTAAAATCGACGCAGAAGTGAAAAGCTTTATGTTTGCTTCATTTAATTAAAAATGTCCATGACGAGACTTCATCAGACAAAGTATGCAAACGTATTTGTGACTTCATTAAGGTAATTACCGCCGCGAACCAAACGCAAACAAACCACCATACCGATCTCATGAAATCTCTCTCAGGAAATTTCATCATGATATTTAAGTCCGGTAGTAGTTCAACCGCAAACTATTTGCGCTGGTTTTTTTATGACTTTTATATATTCATATAGTATTTTTTAATAGCACAACTATATTCTTTATGCTTTGTAAAATATTATATTTACTTTATAAATAGTAGCAATAGTT